TACCATGTTTTCACTAGTCATAATCAAACAGCTAGGGCTAGGGATAAGGTGAGCCTCCAAGAATTATATACAATGCATGGAAGGGAAGAGGAAGTTGAACAAAAACAAAGTTCTTTAGGAAGGAGAAGGGGAACATAAATTCTGAAATTAACTAAGTTCCATTACTATGTTAATAGTAATAGTATAACAGCTTTTTTTTTTTTTTTTTTTTTTTTTTTTTTTTTTTGAGACGAATCTTACTCTGTTGCCCAGGCTGGAGTGCAGTGGCGCAAGCTTGGCTCACTGCAACCTCCACCTCCCAGGTTCAGTCGATTCTCCTGCCTCAGCCTCCCGAGTAGCTGGGACTACTGGCACGTGCCACCACATCCTGCTAATTTTTTGTATTTTTAGTAGAGATGGGGTTTCACCGTGTTAGCCAGAATGATGTCGATCTCCTGACCTCATGATCCGCCCACTTTGGCGTCCCAAGTATAATAGCTTTTATAATAAGTTTGTTGCTTGTTCTCTACATAGTTAGCCTCAGAGTGTGAGATGTACACTGATATATTCGATAGTGAAATCTTAATTACAAGTGCCAAAAAGTATGAGCTCTGCTGATTCTGAACACAGAGTCTTAATTTATGAAAAAGTACCATTATGTCCAGCTTTCTGTGAGAACCCAGTTCTATCATTGAACTCAACAGATATTCTGCCTATTTCCATGTTTTCATTAACACAGCCCCAAATTATGTGAAAACTGACATCTGTGCCCAATTGATTATAAAGACATGAGAAATCCTACTTCTTTTTTTTTTTTTCAGAGTCAGAGTCTTGTTTTGTCATCTAGGCGAGAGTGCAATGATGCAATCTTGGCTCACTGCAACCTCTGCTTCCTGGATTCAAGCGATTCTCCTGCCTCAGCCTCCTGAGTAGCCAGGATTACAGGCATATGCCACCATGCCCAGCTAATGTTTGTATTTTTAGTATAGATGGGGTTTCACCATATTGGCCAAGCTGGTCTCAAACTTCTGACCTCAGGTGATCTGCCCACCTCACCCTCCCAAAGTGCTGAAATTACAAGTGTAAGCCACCTCATCCTGCTGGAGAAATCCTATTTCTGTGCTTAAATTTGAGTAGAGGTTTCTAAAGTTTAAAACGGAATTTAAACCCTGTCCTCATCTTCCTCTGCTTAGGTATCATACTATTAAGGACTTGTTTATGTAATAGATTTTATATTGAAGGTATTCAAGCAGAAGCTGTACCAATGTTATTGATGGTACTGATACATCTCATAAAAGACTGGTCCAGAGAATGCTTCCTAGTCCCAGCTGATCGAGAGAATTAACTCGATAGTTTTCAACAATACGGATTCCATATCCTGACCATACTTAATCAGAGTCTCTAAGAAGTACTACTAATAATTTTTTACAGCCAATCCAGGACCGGCTCCTGGGCAATTACTTAGGAATCCCTGGACTGAGTTTTCTAAAAGATCCATTTAAATATATAATTTTAATAACTTTTGACAGTGAAAATAACATTGCACTAGAAATTAGGTGACTGAAATTCCAGTGCCAGCTCTGCCATTGGTCACTGTGATGACAGACAAGTCATTTTACCCTGTGGAGCCTCAGTTTCCCCTTCTGTAAAATTAGGGACATCAAAAGTCCCTTCCATCTCCAAACCCAGTAAATTTTACTGGTTTGGGCATTCTGGGGAACCAAGAGTTTATTATAAAGATTCTAATTTCCAATACTGCTGGCTGTTTTTAATGGCACATAAAGATTTTATATGGACACTGCCATCTCAAAAGAAAGGTTCAAGATGGGGTCCATAGAAGTCTTAAGAGTTCTATCATTGAACAAATCTCCCTGTAAAAAGTGGGGACAAATACTATAAATATGTGAACAAAAGTCTCTTTATGTTACCAGTGGTTAATGGATATGCCTGCAGCTACCACCTGAAATAGTTCTGGCTCTGACTCCAGAACCAAAGTTTCTGGCCTTTAACTGTTTGGTAGAGTGATACAACTCACATTATACAACATACGTGAGCCAGCTTTTAGAATATATATATATATATATTCTACAATATATATGTACGTATATTTTTTCTTTGGAATGAAGTTTAGCTCTTGTTGCCCAGGCTGGAGCACAATGTCGTGATCTCAGCTCACTGCAACCTCTGCCTCCTGGATTCAAGCGATTCTCCTGCCTCAGCCTCCCAAGTAGCTGTGATTACAGGTGCCCACCACCACACCCGGCTAATTTTTGTATTTTTATTAGACATGGGGTTTCAGCATGTTAGTCCGGTGATCCCCTCCGCCTCAGCCTCCCAAAGTGCTAGGATTATAGGCGTGAGCCACCACGCCTGGATGTAGGGTTTTTTTTTGTTTTTGCTTTCTTTTGTTTTTTAAGAACTAATTGTTCCAGTAAGATCTGCTTTTTTTTTTTTTAATTTTTTTTTTTTTTTTTTGAGATATAGTCTCACTCTGTCGCCAGGCACCAGGCTGGAGTGCACTGGTGCAATCTTGGCTCACTGCAATCTCTGCCTCCTAGGTTCAAGCAATTCTCCTGCTTCAGCATCCCAAGTAGCTGGGACTACAGGCATGTGCCACCACGCCCAGCTAATTGTTGTATTTTTTAGTAGAGACAGGGTTTCACCACGTAGGTCAGGATGGTCTCAATCTCTTGACCTCATGATCCGCCCACCTCAGCCTCCCAAAGTGCTGAGATTACAGGCGTGAGCCACTGCTCCGATCTGCTTTAGCCTGGGCACAGTGGCCCATGTCTGTAATCCCAGCACTTTGGGAGAACAAAACTGGAGGATCACTTGAGTCAAGGAGTTCGAGACCAGCCTGGGCAACACAGTGAGACCCTGTCTCTAAAAATTTTTTTTTTTAATTAGCTGGGTGTGGTGGCATGTGCCAGTAGTCCCAGCTACTCAGGAGGCTGAGGTGGGAGGATCACTTACGCCTGGAAGGTTGAGGCTGCAATGAACCATGATCATACCACTGCACTCCAGCCTGGGAGACAGAGTGAGGCCCTGTTTCAAAAAATAAATTAATTAAATAAAGCAAAATAAAATTATCTTATCTGGTTATCTTGCTCTAATTAACTCTAGTTTGTTTCCTGACTCATAATTTCCCTCTTCACACCATACCCTTTTTTCCCTTCTCTGCTTCCACAGACAAATTCAACTTCTTTGACCCCTTGTTTTACAAATTTTCCGTCACACTCTCACTCATGACATTATCATTTAAAAACTTCATTTAGCCAGGTGCAATGGCTTCCACCTCTTATCCCAGCACTTTGGGAGGCTGAGGTGGGCGGATCACAAGGTCAGGAGATTGAGACCATCCTGGCTAACACAATGAAACCCTGTCTCTACTAAAAATGCAAAAAATTAGCCAGGCATGGTGGTGTGCACCTGTAGTCCCAGTGACTAGGAAGGCTGAGGCAGGAGAATTGCTTGAACCCGGGAGGGGGAGGTTGCAGTGAGCCAAGATCGTGCCACTACATTCCAGCCTGGGTGACAGAGCGAGACTCCATCTCAAAAAAAAACTTTATTTACACTGAGTAACAAATAGCTAGTGTTTACTGAATGCTTATTATGTGCCAGACACTGTATTAAGCAATTTACATGCAACATATCAATTGTTATTTATTTAGAGTACTATTTGTTCCTCCACTATACAGATAAGACCCAGAAATATTGAGTAACTTGCCCGAAATTACATAGCTAGTTAGGTGGTGACGCAGGATTTGAAATCAAGCACTTAGACTCCAGAGCCTCTACTCTATTGTCTCCTATAAAAGCAAGGATTAAAAAAAAACTATAGCAGACTACGATGAAAGAGATGGGAATTTTGTGGTTTTTGATAATAACTAATATATCACTATGGATAGGTCATAATGGTTCCGATTTTCTCATTCATAAATAAGTTGAAGAAGACACAACTACTGTGTCATAATACTCTGTGATTCTATTGCGTGAAAAGTGTATCTTTTGATCTTTTGTCTCCTGATATGAAAGGACTTTGGCATTTCACCCCCTTCTCCTATATTTTCATATTTATTCCAGCACTAGCTTACATTCTAACAGTGAAACACAGGTACATATGTATTTTATGTGTGTCCTGTTTCTATTTCCATAAAGCAAGATGTATTAGAGTAACATAAAATTTTTAGAAAATTTCAAATCTCATCCCTATTTTTCTGGTACTTTCAGATCTCATATCTTGATGATGACAGAAGTTGCTTAAAGTTGGAAAATTATTGTGGCTTTGCCCAACATGGCAAATCAGTGCTTTTTATTTTGTATATGATGTATAGTTTTCACAGCTATAATAATTGGCTAGTTTATGCTGATCTTTGAAAAAGCAATGTATTCCAGTAGCATTTTTTTAAACAGGGTCTTGCACTGTCACCCAGGCTGTAATGCAATGGTGTGATCATAGCTCACTGTACTTTTGACCTCCCAGGCTCAAGAGACCCTCCCACCTCAGCCTCTTGAGTAGCTGGGACCACAGTGAGCACCACTTTTTAAACGTTTTGTAGAGATGCAGGTCTCAATATATGGCCCAGGTTGGTCTCAAACTCTTGGGCTCAAGCAATCCTCCTGCTTCAGACTTCCAAAATGCTGGGATTTATAGGTGTGAACCATCACGCGCTGCTAACATTTTCTTTTCTGTTTTTGTGTTTCTATTTCTTGAATTCATGTTTCCTTATGTTTATCAAGCATAGTTTCTTTTACTTTTAGGAATTAAGGCTGAATTAGGACTTTTAATGACTGCCATACTAAAACTCCTTATCCTTTTTGAAGCTGAAACACATTGGGAGGATCAGCAAAGTCATAGAAAGAGTGGGTGGGTGAGGATAAAAGAGTAAAGCCCTTTTGCAAATAGGCACACTTAGATTGAAAGCACGTCCTTCAACCTCCCTGCATGTATTTAATCTCTCTACAAAAGTTAAAGTGTATTTGCTTGTCATCTTTTTAGCTACCATTACTATTATTTTGAACATTTTATATTTTGCCTCTTTTTTTTTTCTTTTTTGGAGAAGTCAGTACTTTTTTGGAGAAGGGGGAATTTAACTTTTAAAATGACCAGTTATACATACCTAGCATGGAAGCAGAATATAGGTAAGCAAGAAAAGAAGGATCATTTTAACTGGAATGTGATAGCTGTACAACTCTGTAAATGTATTAAAAGTCATTGAATCTTCTTGCTGTAGAGTGTCTCTGGAAAAAGAAAAGAAAGAAAAAAGTCATTGAATCACATACTTAAAACAGACGAATTTTACAATATGTAAATTAAAAGTCAATAGTTTTAGAAATTCCCTTAATTCCTTGCTTTCTTTCTGCTCATACAAATGCACATACATACCACTGAACTGTCCTCTGACACTGCTTTGAAACTGCCTTTTTCCTTCGTTCAACCACATACTGTGACCATCTTTCCAGGTCAATTCACATTCCACAATATCATTTTAAATGGGGGCATAGTTTTTTATTTTATATTCAGTATGTAATTATTTTTTTTTTGTAGAGACAGATTCCACCTTGTTGGTCAGGATGGTCTTGATCTCCTGACCTTGTGATCTGCCCGCCTCAGCCTCCCAAAGTGCTGGGATTACAGGCATGAGCCACTGCGTCCAGCCATTTTTTTTTTTTTTTTTTTTTTTTTTTTTTTAGATGGAATCTCACTTTGTCACCCAGGCTAAAGAGCAAAGGTGAATCTCAGCTCACTGCGACCTCTGCCTTCTGGGTTCAAGCGATTCTCCTGCCTCAGCCTCCCAAACAGCTGGGACTATAGTCTCTACTTTTAGTAGAGACCGGGTTTCACCATGTTAGCCAGGATGGTCACGATCTCCTGATCTCGTGATCCACCTGCCTCAGCCTCCCAAAGTGTTGAGATTACAGGCGTGAGCCACCACGCCCAGCCATAATTTGTTTAACCAATTGATTCCCTGAACATTTTTGCAGCTAAAATTTCATACAAATTTCTTTAGGTTAAATTACTAAAAGAATTATTGCTAGATCATAGGGCATGTTCATTTTAAGGTTTTTCTTACTTACAAATTGCCCTCTAAAAAAAACTGTACCAATTTGTACTCCTACAAGTAGTCATTCTGTCCTTGCTTTTCTCCCATCGAAACTCAGTGCTAGTATTTTATAAAGTCTCTGTCATTCTGACAGATAGAAATGGTAGCTTGTTATTAATTTCCATTTAAATTACTAATAAAGTTGAATTTTTGGTTATTAGACATTTGAATTTCAGTTTACCTTCTCTGTCCATCTCCCCAAAACACTATGTGTACATGTATTTCTTATTAATTCATATGAGATTTTATACATTAAAGATAAATAACCTCATCATATATTTTGTATTTTTCCAGTTTGTATCTTTTATTTATGTTGCTTTTGCAGAAGAAAGTATCAAATCACATGGTCATACCTATCAATCTTTTGCTTTATAGATATTGTCTTGGGTACTATCCTTGATAAGGCTTTCCCCACTCCCAAATATTTAAATATTCACCAATATTTCTTTTACTAATTTCATGTTTCCTTTCTTTAGACCTCTAATTTATCTAGATTTTATTTTTATACATAACATAGGACAAGGAAATAACTTGTTAGAATAAATGCGGAGACAAATTTTTACCTTATTTAGTGCATGTCTTCCAAGTATCCAAAAGTGTGTTATATATATGGTTTCTAGTAATAAACACAGCAAGAATGTTCTCATCCTTATGTAATTTACCAACTCAGAGAGATAACATACTATTTAAGTGCAAGTTTGACAAAGGCTATGAAGTGCTAACTTCCATGGTAGAGTATAGTATGTGGAATCTACCAATTGTTCTGGCGCCTACTGAACAGTCAAATCTTTAAAAGGAGGTAGTTTGGTTGACGTGAAGAAGAATTCAATTAAAAAACAACAGGGCACAGTGGTGCACGTTTGTAATCCCAGCTACTCAGTAGCCTGAGATGGAAGTACTACTTAAGACCAGCTTGCCCAGCATAGGGAGACCTCATCTGCGGGAAAGGGGAGCACCGAAAAAACCCAACCACAACCACACAAAACCAAGCAAACCAAAAACAACAATGAACATTTATCATTTCAGAGTATCCGTGGGTCACGATGTTGGCGTGGCTTAGCTGGATTATCTGTTTCAGGATCTCTCACAAAGATGCAAACAAAGTTGTGCCCAGGTCTGCAATCTCATCTGCAGGAAGATTTACTTCCAAGTTTGCTCACATGGTTGTTGGCAGAATGTAGCTTCTCATAGGCTGTTGTTAAGCCAAGGCTTTCAGTTCCTTGGTGGGAATTCAGTTCCTTACAGGTTTTCTGGTGGCTGGAGACCTCCTTTAGTTCCTTGGCATATAGGTCAGAATAATTAATTTTTGTCCCAGTGTGGGTACTTAAGCTTTCATACAACTGATTTATAATGTCTTTATGGAGTAAAAATTAGCACAGCATTCATGTTCTTAGTCCTATATTCAAGAATAAAAAAGTGTGTATATACTGTGAATATTCTGATTGGTATACATTTTTGGCTTGTATGTAAATTAATATGTGGGTGAATTAAACATTCACAGAGAATTAATTATATATTGCAAAGGACAAACACATAATTCTGTACAAGATAGGAATGTCAAGAAAAGTTTAAGATGACTGAGTTTCTCTTTTAATCACATCATGGTTATAATTTCAAATTATTTTTCATTCCCTTCTTTCCTTCCTTTCACACAGACTATATTGTAAATATACTCTCCTGAAGTTGCACAATATAACTACCCTGAGCTTAGCCACACATATATGGGTATACACAATTGTTTTATTTTTTGATTTGATGCTGACAGTGCTGTGGGTTTTATCTGAACTCAGAACATTTAATTTCTAAGATATAATATTTAGTTAGATATTTAAAGCATTCATCCTGAAACTAGAATTTGATTCCCAATCTTAGACCTTGAAAATAACTCTAGTTTAGTGTACGCATTTTCAACATGGGCAATACTACTCCCCATGGGGTAAAAATTGTTTTTTTGGGAGGGTATTAAAAATAAGTATGCCTTGGCCGGGCACGGTGGCTCAAGCCTGTAATCCCAGCACTTTGGGAGGCCGAGGCAGGTGGATCACGAGGTCAAGAGATCGAGACCATCCTGGTCAACATGGTGAAACCCCGTCTCTACTAAAAATACAAAAAATTAGCTGGGCCTGTAATCCCAGCTACTCAGGAGGCTGAGGCAGGAGAATTGCCTGAACCCAGGAGGCGGAGGTTGCGGTGAGCCGAGATCGCGCCATTGCACTCCAGCCTGGGTGACAAGAGCTAAACTCAGTCTCAAAAAAAAAAAAAAAAAGTGTGCCTTATTTATAAAGCATAAATATACGTACAGTCCATTAAAGCATATATGGTATATCTGTGTGTTAAAATTTTATAGTGGGGTGCCGATTAGGAAAAACAGATCTAAAAAGGTTCCACAGGGGGCTGATAATGAAAACAAAAGTTGAGAAACATGGCCCTAGTGCTAAGCTTGATAGAGAGCTATTAGATGAACCATCTGGCATTACATTTTTTCCTGTATGATTTCCTGTATTAGAATATAAGCTTCTTAAAGACAGAAAATGTAACCTGATTTGTATTTTTAATAATAGCTAACACAACGGTTATGTCCAACTGTATTCAGTATGTATATTTTATTGAATTAATATGGAATATATCTTCCCCTACTTGCACTCATCCTACTAGTACTATAAAACCTTTTTTTTTTTTTTTTTTGAGATGGAGTTTTGCTCTTATTGCCCAGTCTGGAGTGCAATGGCGCCATCTTGGCTCACTGCAACCTCCACCCCCAGGGTTCAAGTGATTCTCCTGCCTCAGCCTCCCAAATAGCTAGGATTACAGATATATGTCACCACACCCAGCTAATGTTGTATGTCTTTAGTAGAGACGGGGTTTCTCCATGTTGATCAGGCTGGTCGGGGTTTCTCCATGTTGGTCAGGCTGGTCGGGGTTTCTCCATGTTGGTCAGGCTGGTCGGGGTTTCTCCATGTTGGTCAGGCTGGTCTCGAATTCCTGACCTCAGGTGATCCACTCACCTTGGCTTCCCAGTGCTGGGATTACAGGCATGAGCCACCACACCTGGCCAGCTCTATAAAATCTAAATGTAATAATCAAAGTTAGTCTAGTAAAGTGCAACCTATCACTATCTCCCTCACAAAAATCCTAGTAAACTAATAACAAATTTTATTCAAAGAATGAAAAATCTTCAAAGTAGCATAAGAGAAGGAGTACAGACTAGAGACAGAGAGATGAATCAGGGCTTTGATTTCTATCTCTTATCATTTGCAAGCTGAGGGAGGAGGCTTGAGCCAAGTTATAAGAGAAAGTGAAAGAGGATGAAAAAGGGACCTTTCTAGGGGAAGGATACAAGAAGGGACAATGGCATTTCTAGTAGGTTTTTGTTGTTTTGTTTGAGACAGGGTCTTGCTCTGTCTCCAGGCTGGAGTGCAGTGGTTTGATCTTGGCTCACTGCAACCTCCACCTCCCAGGTTCAAGCAATTCTCCTGCCTCAGTCCTTCCCTGAGTAGCTGTGATTACCAGCAAGTGCCACTACATTTGGCTAATTTTTTGTATTTTTACTAGAAACAGGGTTTCGCCATGTTCACAGGGCTGGTCTCGAACTCCTAGCCTCATGTGATCCTCCTGCCTTGGCTCCCAAAGTGCTGGGATTATAACTGTGAGCCACCACACGTGGCCCTAACAGTCTTATATACATCCAAAATTTCAGGCATGTTGAACTTCTGGCAGTTCCCCAAATAGGGCATGGTTCAAATACACCATATATCACACTTACATATTTTATATATACATTCACATTCCTTTTCCCAGGGAATTTGTCCTCCAATACTCAGCTCAGGTCACACTTTCTTTCCCTAGGAAGGCCTCCATGACAATCTTGTGTGCCTTCTACACTGAATTAAATACTGTATTCTTGCTTCCCTAACATTCAGGTCATACTTCTACTATAGTACTTATGATAGTATCATTAATGGTTTACATGTCTCTCCTACTACTCCGTGAACTTCTTGAGAGCTGAAATGGTTTTACTATTTATTTATTTAGAGACTGATTCTTGCTCTATTGCCCAGGCTGGAGTGCAGTGGTGCAATCTTGGCTCACTGCAACCCCTGCCTTCAGGGTTCAAGCAATTCTCCTGCCTCAGCCTCTTGAGTAGCAGGCACGTGTCACCATGCCCAGTTGATTTTTGTATTTTTAGTAGAGATGGGGTTTCACCATGTTGGTCAGGTTGGTCTCAAACTCCTGACCTCATGATCTGCTCACCTCAGTCTCCCAAAGTGCTGGGATTACCAGGCATGAGCCACTGTGCCCAGCCTTATTTAATTTCTTAATTTTAACGTTTCTAGCACACTGCCTGACATGTTAGTGAACAACGGACTTATTGAATTAACTAATAAAAAAACGGGCATACAAGAAGAGCACAGCAGCCATTTTCAACAATTTGACAAATGAATTTTGTTTTGTATTCTTCATAGGGCCACCACTTTAAAATTGACTGAATAATCATCTTTATATATAGTCAGACCTAAAACAAAGCACTGTACAATTCCTGTGTCAAATAATGATAATAATATAAGTCCTTTACACTAACTGATTTCATCATTACAATCCAATGAGGAAATCCTTATTATTTTTCCTTTTCCTTCCTCAGATGAGGAAACAGGCTTGTAAAAGGTGAAGTAATTTGTCTAAGTTCACATATTTATTAAGTAGGGTTTGTAGCTCTGGCACGTATGGTGCTAACTACTACACTATTATACCTCTCAAAGTCAGCTGAGTAAGAATATTCACCTTTGCACAATATTTCATCCCTTTGTCTGAACTTCTCCACCTGCAATCTCCCATATACACTCACTTAGGAGAAACAAAGGCTCATAGTCCACACATGCAGCTTGTAATTTAGAAAAAAAATGTGTCCACACATACTCAGCTTTGCTTAATGCAAACAAATATACTAATCAATATGGTATAACCCTCTGGGACTATTCTGTTTTAATAACATTAAGATACAATGTAATGATTTTCATTTTATTGTCCTGTCAAATTTTTAAAAATGGGAACTTGAGGCTGGGCGAGGTGGCTCATGATTGTAGTCCCAGAACTTTGGGAGGCCAAGGTGGGCAGATCACCTGAGGTCGGGAGTTTGAGACCAGCCTGACCAACAATGGAGAAACTCCAGCTTTACTAAAAATACAAAATTAGCTGGGCATAGTGGTACATACCTGTAATCCTAGCTACTTGGGAGGCTGAGGCAGAAGAATTGCTTGAACCCAGGAGGCAGAGGTTGTGGTGAGCCGAGATGGCGCCAGTGCACTCCGGCCTGGGCAACGAAAGCAAAATTCCATCTCAAAAAAAAAAAGAGAGAGAGAGACTTGATATACTGCTTCAGCAATTTGAATGTGTCAATACATGTATCCGACGTTATATTATCTTTTCTGGAAAGCAAAATGTGAAGCAACTCATAAAGACTTTTTGTCATGTATCACAAGCCCTCCATTATTACTTTACTAAAGATGTCTGTGAGGGTAGAGCTAGAAAGACAGAATTGAAAAACCAGTTCTTGCCACATTGCAAAATAACTGTAAGGAGTGGCATTTGGTTCCTGAAGTCGAAGAGGTGACTGTGCCTACTAAATCATGGTATTGTCTCAAATGAAACAAACCAAAAGAACCAAAAAAAATCAACCAAACAAACAAACAAAAACAAAAACCAAGAGAGAAAACAAAAAGACAAAATAAGAAAAGCTTTCTCATTTCTGAAAGCTTTGGGGCTGTGTGGTCCTGTCAGGTGCTGCTATTTCTGGGTTTCCTATTACTACAATCTTCAAGTCCTAAAGATTTTGCTTCTTGTTGCAGTTCTTTATTCATTCATAACCAAGCTGCATTGTATCATTTGTGTCCAACTGAGTTGGATTCCAACATCAATCCTATCTTGCCATGAAGTATTAAAGGCTGAAGTACCACTGGGGAAAATGAGCATTTGCCCTAGAAAAATCCTAGATAAAGAATGCTATGGAGAACATACGCATATCAGACTCCCTCTTCCTTCTGCTCCACACAACCTTCAAGTTTTCATGAATACCAGTGTTGATTTAATGTTGGCAAGATTCAACATACTTTGAGGTAAGAATACAATTAATGTCTATTATTTTCAGGTTTATATTAATTAACAAACTTTAGGTTTATATTAATTTATTCCAGCATTAACAAAAGCCTGGAAGTTTGTTGGGAATGGGCAATACATGATTACATGTTCTAGGCATCGAGCACCATGTTTGGAATGATTTGAAAAAAAAACAGTATTTTTGAAGCACATGAATTAGTTTGTGGGAAAGAGTAGGTGGGAAGGAGGTCAGGCAGAAGCAACAGGAGGTACAAAGGCAGGAGGCATGAGAAAGTCTAGCATATTAATGTTTTTGTAGAATATCCCAGTCTAGTGACTTCTATCTCCTTTTTGTCCCTAGCTAGAATTTGAACCTATTTTTTTTCTATAACTTTTTTTTTGAGATGGGGACTTGCTATTTTGCTCGGGCTAGTCTTGAACACCTTGGCTCAAGCAAACTTCCTGCCTCAGCCTCTCAAGTAGTTGGGATTACAGGCATGTGGCACCATGGCCAAGAACTCCTTTAGCACTACCATTTGTGCCATTCTTCTTGGCTTGTGACATCTCTTCAACTGTGCAGTTATATATATATATTTTTTGAGATGGAGTCTCACTCTGTTGAGACTCCAGGTTGGAGTACAGTGGCAAAATCTCGGCTCACTACAACCTCCGCCCGCCAAGCTCAAGTGATTCTCCTACCTCAGCCTCCCAAGTAGCTGGGACTACAGGCATGTGCCACCATGCCCTGCTAATTTTTATATTTTTAGTAGACAGACAGGGTTTCACCATGTTAGCCAGGATGGTCTCGATCTCCTGACCTTGTGACCCACCCGCCTTGGCCTCCCAAAGTGCTGGGACTACAAGCGTGAGCCACCACACCCAGCTGCAGTTATCATTTTTTAAATTAACCTTTTAGTTTATCTCTTTCCCTAAATTATAATCTTTTTATTTCTCCAGAATGCTTAGAAAGGGGCTTTGTATTGAATAGACACACAGTAAGTAATTATTGATTGATTAACCAAAAAAATCATTGCTTATGTACTTAAAAATCTTCATTAAGAATGTTAAGATTAGGCTGGGCACTAATGCCTGTAATCCCAGCTCATGCCTGTAATCCCAGCACTTTGGGAGGCCAAGACAGGTGGATCACCTGAGGTCAAGAGTTTGAGATCAGCCTGGCAAACATGGCAAAACCCTGTGTCTACTAAAAACACATAAAATTAGTCAGGCGTGGTGGTGGGTGCCTGTAATCCCAGCCACTTGGGAGGCCGAGCAGGAGAACTGCTTGAACCCCAGAGGCAAAGGTTACAGTGAGCCAAGATCACATTATTGCACTCCAGCCTGGGAGGCATAGCAAGACTATGTCTTAAGAAAAAAAAAAAAAAAGAATGCTAAGGTTATATTTACAAGAATAAAGTAGAATGTTGGCGCAGAAGATAACACGTCTATTCACCATGCTACTTTTATTACCTAATTCCAGGAAGAACAAATACTACATACAGTCAATGTTTATGCCAATCCAGAAAGCAGTAGGGTTGATGGCAATCACTCCCTTAAAAAATACAAAGACAAATTTTAGGATAAGATCTTATTATAGTCACTGAGAATTATATGGAAAAAAACTGGACTTAAATTCTGAAAACTTGGATCTGAATCAAGGTTCGGCCACATGTTGTGTACTTTGGTAAATTGCTTTCACCTTTTGAGCTTTTCTTCTCATCTACAAAATTAAGACTTCAAACTTCACAAAATCATAAAGAAGAAATTAAAAATACATATGCATCTAGTGTGGCATCTAGTATAGACTCAATAATATATTTGCTTTTTGCCTATTCATCCATTCAGTCAAATACACCTATAAAGCAACACAATAGAGATATTGTGAACTACAGAGAAATGTTTCTTTTGCAAATTTTAGGTACAAAGATACTTTTTTCCTTCAAATGGTTGTCATTAGGACAAATCTATGTTCACTTT